GAGAAATTTTAAGATCTACTCTTTGCAATGCTCAGATATATAATTACTAGAATATTAATTACTAGTAATAACTAGTTTTTACTGCATTGCAGCTAGATATTGTGGTCTGTACAATTTCTACTTTTGAACTGTATGGCGCTTTTAAAAATAATTTATCTTCAGGACACCTGGGTCGTTCAGTTGTTGGGCATCTGCCTTCGGCTTGGGTCATGATCCCGGGGTCCTGAGATCGAGTCCCGCATCGGGCTCCCTTTTCTGTGGGAAGCCTGCTTCTCCCTCTCCCACTCCCCCTGCTTGTGTTCCCTCTCTCTCTGTGTCTCGAAGGAACACAAGCAGGGGGAGTAAGAAAAAATAAATTGGACTTTATCAAAATTAAAAAGTTTTGGGGCACCTGGGTGGTTCAGTCAGTTAAGTGTCCAATTCTTGGTTTCAGCTCAGGTCATGATCTCAGGGTCGGCGGGGAGTCGGCCTGTCTCCCTCTCTCTCTGCCCCTCCCCCCCTTTCTCTCTCAAATAATCTTTAAAAAAAAAAACACTTGGGGCACCTGGGTGGCTCAGTCATTGAGCATCTGCCTTCAGCTCGGGTCATGGTCCCAGGGTCCCGGGATCAAGCCCCACGTCGGGCTCCCTGCTCGGCGGGAAGCCTGCTTCTCCCTCTCCCACTCGCCCTGCTTGTGTTCCCTCTCTCGCTGTGTCTCTCTCTGTCAAATAAATAAAATCTTAAAAAAAAAACAAACAAACACTTTGTACTTCAAAGGGTAATACCAACAGAATGAAAAGGCAACCTATAAAATAGGAGAAAATATTTGTAAATCATATATCTGATAATTGATTCATATCTGGAATACATAATAAACTCTTACAACTCAACAACAAAAACCAAATGATCCAATTCAAAAATGGGCAAAGAACTTGAATAGACATTTCTCCACAGAAGATATCCAAATGGCCAAAAAGCACATGAAAAGATGCTCAGCATCGCTAAGCACTAGAGAAATGCAAACCAAAACTCTGAGATAATGCTTGGCACCCAATAGGACAGCTATTATAAAAAAAATAAAGAAAGTAACAAGTGTAGATAAGGATGTACACAAATTGGAATCCTTGTGCTTTGCTGGTGGGGATATCAAAATGGTACAGCTGCTGTGGAAAATTCTCAAAAAATTAAACAAGGAATGGTCCAAATAATTCAGCCATCCTACCTCCAGGTGTATACTCAGAGGAACTGAAAGCAGGAACTTGAATATTTGTACACCCGTGTTCATAGCAGCGTTATTCACTATAGCCAAAAGGTAGAAACAACCCCAGGTCCATCAACAGATGAACAGATAAATAAAATGTGGTATGTACATAATATGGAATACTACTTAGCCCTCAAAAGGAAGGAGATTCTGACACGGGCCACACAACAGATGAGCCTTGGGAACATCGTGCCAGGTGAGATAGGCCAGTTACAAAAGGAAAAATACTGTATGAGGTACCCTGAGAGGTCAAATTCAGAGACAGAAATTGGGATGGGGGTTGCCTTGGGCTGGGGGGAGGGGGAATGGGGACAGAGTTTCAGTTTGGGAAGATGGAAAGTTCTGGAGACTGATGGTGCTGATGGTTACACAGCGATGCAAACATACTTAATGTCCCTGAACCCTACATTTAAAAATGGCTAAAATGCTAAATTTTACGCTATGTATATTTTACCACAACAAAAAAGTAAATACCGAGCCCTAAAATTAAGTTAATTTCTCTCTACAAGTCTTCCATGTCACCTTCTGCCTATGAGATGTGACCAAGAGAGAAGGAGTTAAAGTTTCTAAAACCAACGTGATATTTGTATTTTTCTTGTTCCTTGGACAGTTTTTATTTTAAATAAATTGACATCATACTATTCAAGACCTAAAGGTTTGTGGCTGTTATTTCTTCCTTTTTTTTTTTTTTTTTATAAATGCCAAATAAACCTTTGTTTCATTTACTCTTTTCCCCTTGAATTCTACTTGGTATGACACATTTATCCCTCTCCTTTCTTTCCTGGCTTGTCTTTCATTTACTGCCTCAACTGTGTGCCAGGTGCCCTTGTAGGTGCTGGGGACCTAGCAGGGAACAAAATAGACCAAATCTTTACCCTTCTGAAGTTACGTTCTTGTGCAGGGAGGAAGGAAGTAAAAAAAGATCAGTATGAAAATATAGTACAGTGTTTTTGATCTTTTCTATTTAAAGTATCCTCCACAGACTCACGGGCAGAAGGGCAGCCGCAACACGATGTGGGAACCCGTTAGAAACTCGGGGACCCATCCTGAGCCAGCTGAGTGTGCACTTGTGGCAAGATGCCCAGACGATTCACAGGCGGCTTCAGGTTTGAGAAGCACTGCCTAGCCCCTGCTGAGTGCTAGGGTTTTAGGAAAATTAGGCAGGGAAGGGGATGATGTGGGAAACAGTGGGGCAAAAGAGAAATTAAATTTCCTTACTATCTACAGCCCATTGACAAGTCCTTGACACAGGCAGAGTGACATTTCTCTAGGGACTCAACTGCCTCAATGCTAATACTTTGCTAAGGGCAAAAGGCAATCTTAGCTTAACATTACCCCGACACCCCCAGGATCCTGCAAGTCTTCTTTAACATATAAAAGTTCCTTTGGAAACTTCCTTTATCTCTACCCGCCTCCCCCCCACCACCCAAATATGTGTTGGCAATCATCTTCCAAGCAAATGGCCCACTCATACACATCTGAAGGGTCTCATGACTCAGGTTTTATTAGACAGCAATAAATGACCTTTTCCCAACAACAGCTAGCCCCCTCAAGGTCCTGGAAACCTTGCTTCCAAAATTCCTTAGAGACTTACACTATCCCTAACCCCCTCCCAACTTGAAAGTATGTAACCAGCCACTCTTCCTGACCCCAGTGCTTTCTGCCCACAGGTCCTGCCCCCCCTGCTTTAATTAAAGCACCTTTCTGCACCAAAGATGTCTCAAGAATTCTTTCTTGGCCATCGGCTCCAAACTCCAACCTTTCCTACATCAGGGGTCAGGGAGGCCTCACTGGGAAGGAGTCCTTGGGGGTACCAGCGGTGAGCTCGGCAGATACCTGGAGGAAGAAGCTGCAGCTAATGGTAAGGCCCCGGGGGAACCGGGAGCTGGCGAAGCAGCATCCGGTTGCACCGCACTCACGCTCAGTAAGTCTTTATTCCAGGCCCTCTGCTTTGGGTGTGTTGGGGCGCCGGTTCCAACGCTGTAATTTGAGCGGGTGCCAATTAGCCAGGCCCCTAGATGCGCCAGGCACCCTGCCCGGTGCTTACTTGGGGGCACTCACAAATAAAGCGTTATTTGCCTAGAGTTTCTGCCATTCTGTCTAAAGCTTTTCTTTGAGTTTCTTTTCAGATGCAAATTCTCCCCTTACATCAGTCAGGCTTGTAGCAGAAGAAACCACAAAGTAACCCTCTGAATTTACTCCTTTCTCTTGGCTTCCTCAATCTTAACGTCTTCCGTAAACTCCGTCCCTCTCCCCAGCATCTTCCCGTTTTTCCAAGCCCCAACCGTCGACACTCTTAAAAGAGTAGCCCAGGCAAGTGGATCTCAGCCCGAAATCGGGGCTGACCGAGACGATCACTCCGTGCTTCAACTTGTCCTCGGTTTCCGAGCAGAAGGGCGGTGGAGCGCGGCCTGGGCCGGCACCTGACCCAAGCGGGCCCCGCCGCCCAGTCTGGGACCTGGGGCGCATTCCTCTACCTCTCCCAGTTTTCATCTCCTACCCGCCAGCCTCCCTGGGTTGTTTTGAAGCCCAAGTGAGATCATTCATAGAAAAGCATTTTGTAGGTCATAAAGTGCTAAAGGTTAACACACACGATAGTGGCAGCGCCACGACTACAGCCAAATGACTGGCGGCGCGCCCCTCATCCCCCCCCCCCCCATCGTCTGGTTCCTTCTGCACCGCAGGCGCACTCGCGCACGCTGACTGCACACACTGTCCCGGATTCCGCGTCTGGGGCCACAGGTTTCCCCCGGGAGCACGGGCCGGATGCGGAGGAGAGCACTGATTGGCTGCGGAGGAAGTGGGCCGAGCGGTGACGCGCGGCGCCTGGAGACTGCGCCGCGGGGTGCGCGGGGGGGACGGGGCGGGGCGGGGCGGGAAGGGTGCGGAAGCGCAGAGAGGAGGGGTGGGACCAGGGGGGCAGGGAGGGAGGGAGGGAGAGGAGGGGGAGGGGCGGAGGGAGGCAGAGCCGGAGAGGTAAGGGGCGGGGGCGGGGAGGGGGACAGGCTAGAGTGGGACGGGGGGCTGGGGCGTGGAGGGAGGTGGGAGGGGACGAGGGCGAAAGCGGTTTTTGCGCCGCCGGGTGGAGGCCTGGTCTCAGCCCCCATGGCCGCGTCGCCCTTCCCGCGGAAGACAGTGGCCCTGGAGAATCATTACTGGCCCATCAGGGGAAGGGACGGGGCCGGCGGCGCGGGAGGGGTCGGTCCAGGGCCGCCTAGGGCCCGCGACGGGCGTACCCGCGCCCGCTGAGCCTTGGCTCTCGCAGTGTCGCCACGCCCAGGAGGTTTCCGGTCACAGCACGTTTCTGGGCATTTCAGTGCTTCCCAGGCTGTTCTCCAGCCGCCGCCCTTCCCTCCTTCGACTGCTGGACCCCGCGCCCGAGGGAGGGGGGACGTCGGGGTCGTGTCCCTTGGTGCTTGCTGGCGGATCGGAGGGGTGGGGGGCACTTAGCGACCCCTAGCGGGATCTACTGTGCGCCTGGTGCGGTGCGGGTGAGTGGGATGGGGACTGGATTACAGGCAACCAGGAGGACCCCGAGCGAGGGGCAGCTATAGGGGGTCATTGAAGGGGGTCTGATCATGAGATGTGTAAGCTCCAGGGCAGAGGAGGCGTGGGCCTTGGGGGCGATCTGGCTGGTGGAGAGGTGGGTGCCCCAGGCCGAGGGAGAGATGTGATGGAGGCAGGGACATGACTTGCTGGGGTCAAGGACTGGAGGAGTGGGAGGGGAGCGGGAGGTTCCAGGTCAGTCCAGTGCCCTGCAGAGCCTGCTTGGTGGAAGGTGACGCCCCCACACTTGGCAGTGTGACTTGGCAAAGGTAGCCTTTGTGAGGCATGGTGTCCTCCGTGTCCTCGTGAGTAGGTGGGACAATAGCTCGCTGTTGGGAGGATTTGTAAGACATGCACATGAAATTGTTGTGCCTTTCCCAGCATCGCATAGCTTAATAAACTTAGCCCTTTCCCTTCTGGAAGGAGAAGGAAGTCAACTTGTGAGGCTTCTGTGGACACTAGGAACACAGCTAAGAGCCAGAGTCCAACAGAATCGCTAAGAGTCCTCCAGAATAGGTGCCTGGCCTAGCTGGCCATCTGTTTCTGGAATGCACATCCCCTTACAGGCTGGGTCTGCATTAAGGCCGGGGTCTCAACTTGTTTATTCTTTTTAAGAATTCTTACACATCACAAGAGAGGGAACTTAATCGACCGCATCAGCATGGACACACACACACAAAGACACACATTTGATGACATTCCCTCTCTCAGAGGTACACACAACCACCCAGGTTATCCTCAGCCAGAATTCCTCGATTTGCAACTCTGTGTTGGGTTTGGGATTCTGGCTTTAATGGTAGAGATCTAACAGGGTCTGAGAGGTGGGACCCCGGCACTGCTACAGCAGAGCCCTAGGCAAAACCTCAGGCACCAGCGAGGGGCGCTGTTGGTGATACGGCACAGAGCGGAGGAGATACGTGCCCGAAGTCACACAACTTGTGGGTTGGGCTTTGTGGGATTTTGACCCTGATGAGTCACTGGAGTGTTGAGAATGCCCTGGTAAATCATTTCCATGACTCAGTATCACCACCTATAAGTTAGGAGCAAGGATACTGGCCGTATAGCTTCCCTTAGGGTAGGAACTGTCTTAAATGGCTCCTCCCACCTTAAGACGGTTGGTGGATGGGACTGTCATTTTTGAGGGATGGTGTGGGTGTAGCCTTCCAGTGAGTTCAGGGCCCCGGCATGGCTGAGGCAACACGGAGGAGCCAGGAGAAGCCTGTTGGGGACAGTGGTACAACCCCCCCTCCAAAAGAGGGGAGGAGGAAGGCTGGAGAGGTGGAGCAGATTTGGTGGAGAGAGACGTCAGGGCACTGGGGTTCCCAGTGTCCTCTTCCCAGGGGCAGAGCATGGCTGTGTGAATGCCTGGATGCTGGCCGGGACAGGGGAAGCTTCCCTTTGTGACAAATGTGGACTCTGATTTAGGAAGTAGTTTGATTGATGGCATAGTCAGGGCTGAGCCACATTAAATGCAAACAGGTGTGCACCTTCTTCCTGCCTGAGGACAGCCGTCCCCCGAACCCTCCGGAACCTGGCCCCTGCCTCGTTTCCTTCTCCAGGTGGGCCCTGCTCTGACAAAAGGCTCATTCTTGGAGCTCTTCCTCAGGGCTTTACAGAATGCCATGCCGTGCGGGCTTTGCTGATGTCAGCTTTTAAATGTCATTGAAACATCCCAGTGAGCCCTAGCGACAGCATTGGCTGGTGAGACCTCTCTTCATTCTGGCCTGGCTGTTGTCTTCCCGCCCCTTTGTCCTCTCAGCATTATGCTGCCCCTCTCCTCAGCAAGCTCATTTATATCTTTTTACCTTTAATTAAACACCCTCTCTATATACACACCCAGGATATTCTCTTCCATCTCGGTCAGTCCTTCCCATCCTCAAGGACTAGGGCCAGCTGCACCATCTTCCGTCCTTCCCTGGCAGCTCCAGCCTGGCTCTGGGAACTGATATTCAGAGCCCCTTCACATACTTGTATGCGATCCTGAGGTGCCTGCCATTGTGTTGTGTTTATGAATTGTAATTTTTCTTCTGGAGTGTAGGTTTCCCGGTGGCAGAGAGGCTCCCAGATATGTCTTCGTATTCCTGCGGCACCGAAAGTGATGCTGAATGTGTTTCAGGCTCTCACTAAATACTTCCTGGTATAACTGGTAGGTTGTATTCATTTCCTTCTCCCCGTCCTGGGGCTCTGGGCCATGCGCAGCTTGGAAGATGAGGCAGGTTCTTGGTAAGATGAAGAAAAGGGGTACACGAACGCTCCAGGGCCTTGCTAGGAAAAGCACTCAGCTTTGGCAGCGTTTTCGTTATCTTTCCAGTGTAACAACCTCCTACCCTCAAAACTTAGTGACTTAAAACCAACCGTTTGTTTGCTCATGAACCTGCCAGCCGGGCCGGGCTCAGGCAGGCGCTTTTGCTGCCCATTCTTGCCTGGGGTTGCTTGGGTGGCTGCAGTCGGAGGGGAGCCCATCGGCACGGGACCAAGATGGCCTCCCTCACGAGGCTGCAGTCAGTGCTGGCCCTCAGCTGGTGGGCCTCAGTTCTCCATGGAGCCCCTCAACCTTTCCGTGGCCAGGCCAATTCTTAACAGCATGGCTGCTTGGTTCTGAGAGGCCTTTCTTGCCAAGGCCTTGGAGTCACTCGGTGTCACTTCTGCATTCTATTGTCTAAAAAAGTCACAGGGCCAGCCAGGACTCTGGGAGGGATGTGGACCCCATCTCTTGATAGGAGGAGTGGAGAGAGTTACACTGCCAAAAGGCATGCGGGGTGGGAGGGATGGTTGTGGCTGTTTTGAAAACCATACTACCTCATCAAGAGAGGCAGGTCTTTTAAAAGATTTTTTTTTTTTTTTAAGATTTTATTTGTTTATTTGACAGAGAGAGAGAGAGAGAGAGAGCACAAGTAGGCAGAGAGGCAGGCAGAGGGAGAGGGAGAAGCAGGCTCTCTGCTGAGCAGGGAACCCAATGCGGGGCTCGATCCCAGGACCCTGGGATCATGACCTGAGCCGAAGGCAGACGCTTAACCGACTGAGCCACCCAGGCGCCCCAAGAGAGGCAGGTCTTTTAGAAATGTCCTGTGCCACAGCCCGGGAGGGCCTATTTCCCTGGACGTGACACCCCCCCTGCACCCCTGCCCTCTTGGCTCACCAGGCCCGCTCCCCTCCAGCGCCGCCTGAGCCGGAGCCTCGTGATTCTGGCTGGATTGTGTGGGGAGAGGGAGGCCCCACAGGGGATGAGGAAAGGAAGAGAGCTGAGAGAGCGGCTGCCGACGCCCGCCTGGAGCGGTCTGGTGCCCGCGTGGTCCAGAGGAAACGTGAGCAACTGGTGGGTGCCGTCCTGTGGTCTCTGTCAGACTAGGACCACTTTCTTTCGGACAGTCGAGTTTACCTTCCGGTTTTCCACCCACAAGGGGCACAGGTTCAAGAAGTATCTTCGTGGATGTTAAGAATTTCCCTCTAATAGAAAATCCAGAAGAGCTATGTGTTTAAATGGTTGCTCGAGGCTTTTCAAGACGAAAAAAAAAAAAACCATTGTCTCTCATCCCGATGCTTACTGAGCACCAGAAAGTGAAGCTGTTAGGTGCGGCTGTGTGCTTCCAAGCCCCGTCGGTGGTGGAGAGGGCCCTTCTGAGCAGGCGCAACCCCTCCTTGTCACCGCAGGGCCCCCGCATTGGTCCTTCCCTGTGTCTGCAGCCTTCTGGGCCTGGGCCCATCTGCCCTTAGTCCTCAGGTGGGAAGGGCCGGATCCTTCTAGGGGCCCAGACGCAGCTCAGCTACCTCTGGAGTAAGATCTGGAGCAGCCCAGGAAGCTGTGATGCCGCCAAGGACCTGGGCGCCTGGGTGGCTCAGTCGGTGAAGCGTCTGCCTCCGGCTCAGGTCATGACCCCTGGGTCCTGGGATCGAGCCCCGCTTTGGGCTCCCTGCTCAGCGGGGTGTCTGCTTCTCCCTCTCCCTCTGCCCCAACCCCCACTCATGCTCGATCTCTCTTGAATAAATACTGCCGAGTGCCAAGAAGTGTGCTCTCCCTGGCTCAAGAAGCAAAGGAAATAATGCCATCAGTCTCAGCGACTGAGTGCAGACCGTGAGAAGTTTAGAAGGTTCACCAGATGGAAACACCTGTGCCGACGTTGACCGCCTGCAGCGCGCAGGGCCCTGAGCTGAGTGGCGCCTGGGGCAGGCCAACCAAGGGGGAAAGGGCCTGGCTGTGTTCCTGTTCCACGGGGGTGGGCATACAGGCCATGTACACGTGACCCCTCTGCTCTTGCTTCTGCTGTGTTGCATACTACACACGGGCCACTACACGGAGAGTACTATGTGCTTTCACATTTAGGATCCAGGCCAGCGCTGGGCGCGTGGGGCCTGAAGGTGAATGAGAAAGCTGGGCCTAGAAACGAATACACAGCAGCACCGTTGAGTATGTGACATCCAGGGGTCGCTTCTGCTGTTGCTCTAGAGTTTGTGATGAGCGGCGCCTTCCCCCACCTCTGCCGAGAGGAACCACTGCTCCTAGGGCAAGTGGCCGGAGCGACAGAGGACAAAAGGGGCCTATAATATTCTATTATTATTATTTTTAGATTTTATTTGAGAGAGAGAGAGAGAGAGAGTGCACACCAGCATGAGTGGTGGGGAGAGGCAGAGGGAGAGGGATAAGCAGACTCCCCACTGAGCAGACAGCCTGATGCCGGGCTTGATCCCAGGACCCCGGGATCATGACCTGAGCTGAAGGCTTAACCGACAGCCGCCCAGGTGCCCCGATATTCTGTTATTATAAGGAAGTGCTCAAAGATCGACGGGGACATTTCAGAAGACACAAGAGCCAGCTGAATGGGGCTCCCACCCCCAGGCCGCCTCCCCACGCCAGAAGGGACTGTCTTACAGAGGAGTGAATGAACAATTTAGAGCTGGAAAACTTGGTTTCTATTTTTTTTTTTTTTTTTAAGGATTATTTGACAGAGAGAGACCCAGCAAGAGAGGGAGCACAAGCAGGGGGAGTGGGAGAAGGAGAAGCAGTCTTCCTGCTGAGCAGGGAGCCCGATGCGGGGCTCGATCCCAGGACCCTGGGATCATGACCTGAGCCGAAGGCAGACGCTTAACCGACTGAACCGCCCAGGCGCCCCTGGAGAACTTGGTTTCTAGACCTGGATTTGAATCCTGCCTCTAAGTAGTTAGGTGAACTTGGATATATTAATTCATCTTAAAAAGAAAAAAAAACCTACATAAAGGTTGCAAGTAAAACGAAAATTCGTTTTTTTTCTCCGCTGCGCCTTTGAGAATAAGTTGCTGTGCTGCATCATGCCCCATGCCTTGGCATGTCCTTCCCACAAATAAAAACCTTCCACTTGTGTGGGACACAGCCATCAAAGTCAGGAAATTAACATTAATACCTTACTACCGTCCAATCTTTAGGCTGGAGAGTTATCCGTTGTGCCAGTAATGTTGTTTATAGCAAAGGATCTAACCCGGGGTCACATGTTGCATTTGACTCTACGTGGAACTGCTTTTCAGCCTGGAACTGCAGAAGCTTAAAACGCGTGTGGATTACATGTCAGTTGTCTTGTGGAATGTCCTCAGTCTGGGTTTGTCTGGTGTTTCCTCTTCACTGGATTCAGACTATGGATCCTTGGCAGGAACATCACACAAGTGACTGTATTGTTTTCACTTTGACCTCTCAGGCTGCTCCTGATTTCAATTTTAACCGTTACTGGAATGATTGCTTTTGCCATTTGATTAAGATGGTGCCTGCCAACCTCTCTCCACTGTAAAGTTTCTTTTTCTATTGCAATTATTACTTATTTTGTGGGGAGGTCATTTGAAACCTGTTCTTCATGAGACTTAAGTTCACTTATTTATTTACATGACTATGGAATCATGGGTTCCTGTGTTGTTCAATAGGCTATAGTCCATTACTACAGTTTTGTTTTTTTAATTTTAATATTCAAATTGTCCTCTGCTGGGCCAGTGGAAGCCTCTCTGAGCTGATTCCTATGTCCTTTTGAGATGTCCCTGTTCATCTTTGAGCACGTCCTTATACAAATAACAAACGAACATTCTAGTCCTCTCTTGGCCATTTGTCCCGGTAGCACCAGTTCTTTATAGCAGAGAACTCAGAAACCAAGGTTAGGGTGCGCTTGATACAGTTGGGGTGCTGTGGCTCCCAGGCCCTCTCAGTGGACAGAGCTAGGGAGATCCGTGAAGATACATTCATATATTTACATCTATACATATATGTTTATTTCTGTGTCTGCTGGACTGTTGAACACAGTGACCTCACACCAAGAGCTCAGTGCCCGTCTAGCACCACAGAATTCATTCCAGTTCCCTCCCTTTACTTAGTTGTGACTCTTCAACAGAGGCATGTCTGGCTTACGTTGTGTGTCATATGACTACCTATTGATTGCTCCCCTTCCTGTAACCAGTCTCCCGTTGTCACTGTGTCCCTCCCCGATGTGGATGCCGTCCTCCCCCAGCTTGGGCCCCAGCACCCCTCCCCCACCCGCAGTCCCCTTCTTCACCCTGCTCAGGATCTCATACCCATGCTGCCCATGGGGACTCCATCCTCCATCTGCTCAGGTTCTGCCACCCTCCCCCCCCCACGGGGGCACCCTCCCACACCACCGTTGGCTCTCTTCACCCTGTTCAGGGCCTCATACCCCACACCGAGTCCCCCCCCATACCAAGAAGCCCCTCTACCCTCATGCAGACGTGCAGACATGTTCTTCAACCGCTTGGGGGTAAAGTGGGGGCTCTGACACCCCAGTCTCGACCCCTTACCACCCCCTGTGTGGACACAGTGGTGTTAGGACTGAGTTCTTCAGGAAAGGAAGGAAGGAGGAGGAGCCACATGTTAAATGTTAAGTCTCAGATTCCTCATCAGTAAAACGAGCAGAATAATGGCTCCCACCTAATATGGTTGCCTTGAGAACCACAGGAGGTAACGTATGTGAGGTGCCTGCTCAGCACAGGGCCTGGCTTGTGGTGGCCACTCACTGTCAACTGCCATCATTGTTACTATACATTAACATTTTCATTTTGTACTGTGTCATTTGGCAGGGACACATTAGAGACGCACAGAGAGAAGACAGGAGGAGCTCGTGCGAATGGCAGATACATCAAGAGAGGACTAATGCCTCTTTCTTAAGAGAATGGAGACAGTCATTAATGTCATCTGAATTAAAAGACATAAGTAAGGGCAAAACACCGGGAGGAAACATGTTAATGTGTTAAGAGTGATGATCTTTTTTGGGTGGGCTTATGTGACTTCAAGTTTTTTCATGTGTTTTCCAAAATATAGTCAATAAATAGTACTCAAACTTAGAAAAAAATTATCTTAGGATGACTCTAGTTAATGTCAACATAACTACTTGAAAACTGCTTTCAGCCTGAGTGGTTGGTTGTGTTTTTTTTTCCTTCGGCCTGGTAGGTTCTGGGGAAGAGCGCCTGGATTCGGATCCTGGCTCTTCCACTTCCCAGCTACATGACTGTGGGCAAGTTCATTAACTTCCTTGTGCCTTTTTGTTTGTTTTATAAAGTGAGGAAACCTACAGTGCCTAATTTGGGGTTATTAATCAGTTAAATGAGATGCTGCTTCTGGGGCACCTGACACAGAGTAAGCACACAAATATGTGAGCTGTTGATATTGTTGTGATCTCATGGGAAGGAATGCGGTGAGCGGTTCCCGAGATGTCTCAGAGGAGAGAACTTCTCGGACTAGCCTCAGCTGTGCCTCCCCCTGAGTTAGTAGCCTGTGACCCACGCAGAGACTTCAGGCAGATGGGCCTCCCGTGGGGCAACAGTGGTGGCGAGGGTGACAAACCAAAACAGGCGAAGTGTTTTCTTCACTTCTTGGAAGGGATTCAGAGATCAGCTTCTTCACGGACGCAGCAGCCTGACGTTAGGACACCGTGACTGACACCTACAGGACGAATGATGTAGCTGTGCGTGAGCTGGCGTCCAGTGTGGGAATCACTCATATACTCACTCACTCACGCACTCATTCATTCGGCTATTAACTTCACATATATTTATTAAATGCTCGCTATGTGTCAGACCCTGTGGTAGGCAATGGGATGCAACCATTAAAATGCAAGCGATTAGGGGCACCGGAGTGGCTCAGTTGGTTAAACGTCTGACTCTTGGTTTTGGCGCAGGTCATGAACTCATGGGTCATGAAATTGAGCTCTGCGTTGGGCTTCCTGCTCCACTGCGGAGTCTGCTAGAAGATTCTTTCCCTCTGCCCCTCCCCCCACTCATGCTCCCTCGCTCGCTCCCTCTCTCTCTCAAATAAATAAATAAATCTTTAAAAAAAGGCACTTGGTTAAAAAATATACTGTAAAATAAAAAGTGCAATTAATAACGGATTCAGATATCTGTACACCCATGTTTGTAACAGTATTATTGACAATAACCCAAAAGCTAGAAGCCACCCAAGTGTCCATTGATGGATAGTGGATAAACAAAATGTTATATACATACAAAAGAATATCATTCAGCTGTAAAGAAGGAAGAAAATTCTGACACAGGCTGCAACATGGACAAACCTTGAGGACATTGTACTGAGTGAAATAAGCCAGTCACCAAAGAACAGATACTGTGCGTAGAGTGGCCAAATTCAGATAGACACAAAGTAGAATGGTGGTTGCCAGGGGCTGGGGGTGGGGGGAGGAGTGGAGAGTTAGTGTTTACTGGATAAAGAGTTTCAATTTGGAATGATGACAAAATTTCTGAAGATGGGTGGTGGTGACCATTGCATGATAATGACTGTGTACTTAGTACCACTGAACCATACAGTTAAAAACAGTGAAAATGTAAGTTTTATGTTGTGTATATTTTACCACGATGTTTTCAAGTGTGAAAAAATGATAACTTTAGACAGTGGAATAAAGCATAGAAATTAAATTCATGAAAAAAATTTACCTAACAGGCTTAGCTTTTACAATTTGTTTTCTTTTAAAAACTTTTTGAACAGACACATCAGTAACCAAGATGTATGGGTAACAGATAAGCATGTGCAAAGAGGCTCAACATCATTAGTCATTAGGAAAATATAACTTATAACCAGAATAATACACCATGACACACCTAAGTGGTTAAAATTGAAGAGATTGACCATACCCAGTGTTGACGTGGATGTAGAGCAAATGGAACTCTCATACACTCGTGGTGAGAATGTGAAATGGTGCAACCACTTTGGAAAACAGTTTGGCAGTTTGTTTTAAAACGTTAGACGTAAAAAAATTAAAAATAAAAATAAATTTTAAAAAATTAAAAAAAAAAGACGTAGGGGTGCCTGGGTGGCTCAGTCGGTTGAGCGTCTGCCTTTGGCTCAGCTCATGATCCCAGGGTCTGGGATTGAGCCCCATATCAGGCTCCCTGCTCAGCAGGCAGCCTGCTTCTCCCTCGCCCTCTGCCTGCCGCTCTGCCTACTTCTGCTCTTTCTCTATCTCGCTGTCAAATAAATAAATGAAATTTTTTTTAAGATTTTATTTATTTATTTGACAGAGAGAGACACAGCAAGAGAGGGAACACAAACAGGGGGAGTGGGAGAAGGAGAAGCAGGCTTCCCGCAGAGTAGGGAGCCCGAGGCAGGGCTCGATCCCAGGACCCTGGGATCATGACCTGAGCCGAAGGCAGACGCCTAATGACTGAGCCACCCAGGGGCCCCAGTAAATGAAATCTTTAAAAAAAAAAGTTAGACATATATCCTGTTAAATGATCCAGCCATTGCACTCCTACAGATTTACCTAGGAGAAATGAAAGCATACGTTCATACAAACAGGAAACAATACAAATGTCCATCAACAGATACATGGATAAACTGTGTTATATGCATACAATAGAATACTACTCCACAATAAAAGAAAAAGAATGAACCGTTGGTACTACATGGATGAATCTCAAAATAATTGTGCTGGGCAAAACCAGGCAAAAAGAGTATATACTGTATGATTACATTTATATAAAATTCTAGAAAATGTTAACTAATATACAGTGATAGTCAGTGGTTGCCTGCAAATGAGAGAGAGGTCAGGGAGGGCAGGAAGAAGGGATTATCAGGAGGCACCAGGAAACTTGGGGGGGACATAGATAAATCCTTTATCTTGATGGTGGTCATTCTTTCATGGGTGTTTACATAGGTCAAAACTTATCAGGTTATACACTTATGTATGTACAGCTTATTACATGTCAATTGCACATTAGTAAAGTTGTTAAAGCCAAAATTAAAACAAAATTAATGCACAGAAAAAATACAATGAGTAAGGGGCAGGAAAAATCATAGCGTTCCCCAGGGGCACAAGATGGGGCTGCGCATGCAAGTGGTGGTGGTCAGGTGAGGCTTCACAGCAGAAGCTACCTGGGGATGAATAAGTGTGGTCAGGCAGAATACGGGATAGGAGAGGGTCTTTCCTAAGAAGGAGGAAATGTGTGGGAAGACTCACAGGCCTCAAAAGAGCCTGAGGCTGGAACTTGGTGTGGCTGGAACTCAGGGCACGGGGGCAGTAGGGAGACAGGAGGACCAGAGAGAGAAACCAGGGACCAACTATGAATGTGGATTTTCTCTTGAAGTCAATGGAGAAGAACTACAGGCAAGCAGAGGGTTGTCCCATGTGCAGTTTATTTTATTTTTAAAAAAGATTTATTTATTTATTTATTTATTTATTTATTTATTTATTTATTTAGAGTGAGCAGGAGGAGGGGCAGAGGGAGAGAGAGAGAGAGAGAATCCCAAGCAGACTCTGTGCTGAGCACAGAGCCCGATGTGGGGCTCGATCCCATGACCCTGAGATCATGACCTGAGCCTACATCAAGAGTTGGAAGCTTAACCGACTGCACCACCCAGGCTCCCCACATGTGCGGTTTAGAAAGATGTTCCAACTACAACCTGAGAAGTGGGCTGGAGAGGGAGTAGAGTCTGGGCAGGCGGGAATCTGGGAATTGGCGAGAATGTTTAACCAGTGAGGAGTGACCCAAGACAAGAACAGTTGGGATATGCCACTCCCCGCCCCCCTCACCTTTTTCACACCCTGGAAAGTTAGGACATTTGATCCCGGCTTTACATAAGAGGAGTAGTTTAAATAGCTTGCTTATGGTACCACAGCTCGTGAGCAGGACATCTGGGGTTTCCAGTCCGATGGGTTCTGAATCCAAAGTCCATTATGTTCACAGGTTTTTGTCTAAATAAAAGGCATCTGGAATGACTCCCCTCTCCCGCTGCCTAATTTTTCTCACTCTCACTGTGGCTTCCCCCTCCCCCACCACAGGAGCACGAAACACAAGATATAACATCATCTGGGCATTCAGGAAAAGAAGGCTTCCTGGAGGAAGAGGCATCTCATTAGAGCCCTGAAGAATTCTGAGGAGGAGGAAGAGCTAGTAAAGGAACAAGGTGGGGGAGTGGGGCAGGAGCAGAAGGAGAAGATGTTCTGCAGTGGGAAGAAGAGCATGTGTGGCTGGCTGGGAGCAAATTATTGACTGGAATGCTCGAAGAACCAAGCCCCAGAGTGGCTGAAGATGGTGTGAGATGCAGAGAGGCACACGACGTGACACTGATTTTTCGCTCTCCGTGGAGCAGCTTACAGAGTGGAGCGCAGGGGAGAGAGGCCAGTCAGGTGAACCCTGTTGATCTGCTGGTGAGATCGTGCCCACCAGGCATCTATCTGCCTTACAGTGGTTACCATGGAAACATTAGATCGTACACCGAGAAGCGTCTATTCAGCCCCTCTGATTAAAGATGATGACAAGGACGAGATGGGGAAGCGATTTACTGACTATTTTACTGGCAGCAGGGCAAAATGGATTCTAACCATTTTAAGGGTATGGTTCTGTGGCAGTAAGTACACTCATAATATTGTGCAGCCAACACCACCACGCATCTCCAGGAATCTCTCGTCATTCTCATAAGCTGGAACTCTGTACCCATTACAATAACTCCCGTTTCCCCTTTCCCTCCCCAGACCCTGGGGAGTATTGTTCTACTGTCTGTCTCTATGACTTTGACTCTGGGTACACGGAATCCTCCATACGTACATAGTGGAATCATACAATATTTGTTGTTTTGTGCCTGGCTTATTTCAGTTAGCACGATGTCTTCAAGGTTCATCTGTGTTGTGGCATGTGACAGCATTTCCTTCCTTCCTTTGTAAAGTTGAATAATATTCCATTGTATTTATAGACCACATTTTGTTTATCCATTAAGTGTTGATGGACACTTGGTTTCTTTCCACCTTTTGGCTATTGTAAATAATGCTGCTATAAACATGGGTATACTGGAAACCTCCTTTGTAGACATGGATTATTGGTATTTAGTGAGGAAGACAGACTTCTCGCTGATGAGTTTCAAGTAAAAGGGAAGGAAAATAGGGAGAAAGAAATGTTTTCCCTAAAAGTCAACTCTAAGTACTCTTTGTGCCTGAATACTTTATGAGCTTATTCTAAGTAGTGCTCTCCTTTGCTGTTGTCCTGTGTATGGTCCGTCAAGACTGCAAGTGGGTCCAACTTGAGTTAACGTGACAGACAGGGCAGACCACCTTTCTCTTCAAGACACAGATTTGCCTTGGGACACTTCTCCTGGGGAATTCTTTGGGCTTCTCAGAAAACTGCCGAAAAGCCAGCTGGATTGTTCCACCATCTACAAGAATATAGGCTCCATGATGGCAGGATCATGTCTATTCTGTCTGTTTTACTAACTAGTGAAACTCCAGCGCATGGCACTCAAAATTTGTCAAATGAGCGAACGTGTCTTCTGCTGATTGGACTCTCCATGCGCTCCTAGGCAAGTCTTATCTCAGGGAAAGAAGAGGCTACTCGACCAGAAGCAGACTCAGAGCTTGTCGGATTGTTGTCTGACATGTGAGTGTCCTTGGCTTGTCCCTTGTACTTCCTGGTTTCTCATCGCTCAGCTGATGGAAATGACACCTGCTTGGACTGACCTTACCAGGTGTCATGAGCATCGAGGGACTCATGTAAACAAGTGCTGTACAAATGAATGCCATAATAGTGTCTAGCCCTGGCCTCTCTTTGGGACACCAGTCTTGCATCGACAACTAACCTGTCACCTGCGGGCACCTCTCACATCTTGTCACCCCAAAAGCAGCACCGTCTCCCAACTTCCCACTTTTCCTC